GGGATCACGGCGTGGGAGGTATTTCAGGGAGCGCCAGGCTTGTCTGGGAAGCGCCCTCTGTTTGCAGACAGGTACTGAGAGACGGTAAAAGCCCGAGACGGGGCCTGTGCTACCAGCGTGGGAGGACAGGCTGGCACAAGGCACTGGCTGGGCCTGAGACGTTCTCCCAGTGCTCCCCGCGCTGACTCCAGAGAACCGGTATGTCTGCGCCGCCCCCCGCCCCTCCCAACCCCAGCAGGCAGCCCTGGGGACGCGGCGATGTGGCCTTCGGTGTGATGGAGGGGCCCATCACCCAGGAAGGTTGTTTACCGTCCCTACTGCAGCGCAAGGCTTTCCGACGGCGCTGATTTAGGTCCCTCCTCCCCTGCCTGTGCCTGGTAGGTCCACATTTCATTCCTGGGTTTTCAGTTTCTGTCCCTTTCACCTCCAGAAAGTCAGACTCCCGTGGCTCCAGAGCATCACAGAGAACTTTCCCTCATGCACAGCAGGGAAGGGAGGTGGGGCTGGCAGGGTCCCCAAGAGCCTATCAGCTCCATCCCTGAGCCCACCGAACATCGGATGGCAGGAGAACACTTCTGGCATCTCACTCCAAAGATCAGAGCTTTGGTGGTGAGCCCGCTGGAGGAGGCAGGCACGTGGCTGACCGAGAAAGAAAACCACAGAGTTGGGATGACTCCGGTTCTGTGAGCAATGGAGGATGCGTCCACAGCCGACGCCACGTGGCTGCCACATCAGACTCAGCATCGGTGAGAACAAAAACACCCACACAGATCTCTCAGCCACGTAAACAAACAACCCAATAACCAGAAAAAGGAAAGAGAAAACCATGCTGACTGCACCGAAGAGACTGATGCTCAAGACAGTTTTCCAGCTGACTGGCTGGTAGGAAATTATTATTTTGTTAATTACACAATACAAAGTAATTGGTGATCTGAGCTACATAACTTGGCAGCAGGCAACGTGAAAGTTTCCGGAGGACTTCTATCAGCTCAGTGAATGACGCAGCACGGATTAGCACAGCTGCCCTACAGCGCAGCAAGACTGGACACTAAATCTACCAAACGGCGCTGCACATCCATCCAGGGAAATTCACCCCCAGCCTGCTCCCCGAGGGAAGCCGCACAGAGGCACTCCGAACGCACAGCTACACATATTGAAACCAGCCTAAGTATTTTCTGAAGACAGAACATCTGTGTCGAAAGGAAAACAGCGTTACCTAAAAACCAAGTGGGAAATGCTAAAAAGGAAAGAGACACAGTGTCAGCTCTCAGTGACTGCGGGAGGAGAACCTCAGCACGGGCACCGCGGAGCCGCCACAGGACCGGCTGCGCCTCCGGTGTCTCGGCTCCTGCCTCCTGCCTGCGGCTAGCAGCATTCCGTGTTCCCATCTCCTGCACGTTTGTTCAAAGTTCTAAAAATATTTGAATCGGCCGGGCGCGGTGGCTCAAGCCTGTAATCCCAGCACTTCGGGAGGCCGAGGCGGGTGGATCACGAGGTCAAGAGATCGAGACCATCCTGGTCAACACGGTGAAACCCCGTCTCTACTAAAAATACAAAAATTAGCTGGGCGTGGTGGCACGTGCCTGTAATCCCAGCTACTCAGGAGGCTGAGGCAGGAGAATTGCCTGAACCCAGGAGGCGGAGGTTGCGGTGAGCCGAGATCGCGCCATTGCACTCCAGCCTGGGTAACAAGAGCAAAACTCCGTCTCAAAATAAATAAATAAATAAAATAAAATAAAATAAAAATATTTGAATCAGGCATGATTGAATTAGCGTGGCCTGTTCTACACGTGGAGTTAACGACGCCAATCCTGTGCTAAATGGGGAGACACTGAGGGAAGTGATTTAAACCCTCCGTAAATTTTATTCAAAATTAACGAGGAGCACCTCGTTCATAATTTCTAATTAAAACAGCTCTAATTAACACCCACGTCCATCCGCCAGCCCCACCTGCTGCACACATGCCACTCGGATGGCCGTGGCCTGCGTGGAGCGGGAGATGGGCAGATACTGCAGCAGCGCTGTCTATTCTAGGAAGCATCGCTCACCTGAGCCAGGCGAGCTCACCAATCACTTCATCTCCAGGCAGCTCCTCGCGCTCCAGCTGCTGCAAGCAAAATCTCCAAGGGCTTCAGAGCAGTGCTTTAAAAAAAACAGTTTGCAGAGAAGGGTCTAGAAAGTGTCCATGCAACTGACAAAAGGAGCAGCGTGGCGCCTCACTTCCCCCCAGAGCTGTGACATCCTCAACCCAGCCTCACAGGGCCAGATGCCCTCGCACATTCACCAGCCCTGAAGCATGGCCGGGGCACGTCTGCTGGCCAGACCGTGTGGCCGAAGGGGACGAAGAGCCCTGCACCGGCACCCAGAGCGGCCCTCCGAGTGCATCAGTCCTGACCGCAGATGCCCCCCGCCAAGTGCCACCGCTCAGATCTCGAGAGGACGCACACAGATGAGTCAGGAGCGGGCCGCCAACCAGCAGGAGTGAGGAAGGACAGTGAGATGGTGGCAGACCCTGGGCGCTGGGTCAGGGTGGCTGCCTGTGTGCCGAGGGCTGGGGTCCTGGGCCGTGGAGGGCAGGGCTGACGGCTCAGCTATGTGGGGTGGGAGACGTTCGCATGAGCCACTCAGAAGCTCAGAGACAGCTGACGGCATCAGTGGGGTCTCCAGGACCTGGTGGGTGGGAGCAGCAGCAGATGGGGTCCCACAGGGGGCTGTGCCCTGCCTAGCACCCTCCTGCACGGCCCGGACCACACCTGTCTTGCAGGCCCTGGCCACCACTGACCAGGCCCTTAACACAGCGCTCCTGAGCAGCCCTGTGGCAGGAGAGGCTGGCGCTGCAGTGGTCGGGGAAGCCAGTGCTCCTGAGCTCACACAGGCCGGGGGCCAGGCTGAGCCAGACGCTCACAGAAGGGCACCTGGTCTCCCTGGCACACGGGAGTCTACATCCACCCGGGTGAGGTGGAGCTGTGGGTGCCAGTCAGCCACGGCCAGGAGTCTGCGGGCCTCTCTGGTCCGCAGTGGTATTGAGTCCTGACCCGGGAAGCGGCAGGTCCTCATCCCCACCCAAGCAGGCTGTGCTACAGCAGCCTTGGACTCACTTCTACCAGCCAGCCCCGCTCAGGGGCCGTCCCAGATGCTGTGGAGCTGTGAGATGCAGGCAGGGGCAGCACCAAGCATTCCAGAAGGTTCTGCTGCAAGAGCCTCAGGCCAAACAGAGCCACCTGGCTGCCCCAGCCCCGCTGCTGGTACTAAAAGGACTGTGCCGGCTGGAGGGGCCCAGACCACGCCACCCATCGGCCCCCACTTTGCTCTGTGGACCCAATGAGCCAGCTGCCCACTGGCCACCTTCAGAAGACAAAACTGTCCACAGACTGCAGGAGCCGAGCCAGGCGAGTCCAGGGTGACAGCAGAGGCACGGGGCAATGCCTGGCTCAGGGTCTCAGTGTGAGGCTCAAGCAAGCCTTGCCCGTGCAGTGGAGATGAGGCAGTGACCTTGAGAGGAGCTCAGTGTGAGCATCAGGAAGTGCCCCGTGAACCCAGTGGGCGGCCTCCACAAGGCCCACTCGGGAATGGTGACAGGGGCTGGCGCAGGGCCTGGTCCTGTGGCTGCAGCCCCGTGGCCTGAGCGTGATGGGCATGGGCAGTGGGCTCACCCTGATCCCTACGTGCTGATGGCACTCACCATCTTCCTCCCAAACCTAGAAAAGCATCCCTTCTCATTGCAGAAGGTGTATTTTCGTCAAAACTCACAAAAGCGCTTCCTCGTGGAGGGAGGTGTTGTTGAACAGCACCCACAAACGCGGCCACATGAGCAGCCCCGCCTCTGAGGGGCCAGCGACTCTGCCAGGCACAGGGCTCCCACATGACTATAAATTCTCCCGAGAGTCAGAATTTCGGGACTTAAAGAAGAAAAGCAAGCTCGCCCTCTGCTGGCCCCCGGGGGCCGCACACCCACACCACATTGGGGACGCAAGGCCACGGACCTGAGGAAATTCACGGAGAGGAGCTTCCCCACCGCCCCCCCAACTCCGCCGCCGTGGAATCCGGCCTCTTCCCAGCAAAAGGCACAGCATCACTTCCACCCCAAAGCTTTCCTAAAAATGAGGAGAGCCGAAAGGCCACCATCTCCCAGGCCAGGGCTGGGTTCAGGATCCGGGCTCTGGGGTGTCAGGGTTCAGGGCTTAGGTTCCCCGAGGGAGAGGCGCCTGAGACAGCATTGCTGCTGTGCGAGCCCAGGGTGGCTGCTGTGCGCCTCCAGTCCCAAGACCCGACTGCGCTGGGCAGTCGCTGAGGATGCTGCAGAGGACCCCAGTTCTCACACCCCTCCAGGCCATTCCACACTCAGCCAGCTCCTCAAGGCCCTGGCACAGCAGCGTGCAGGGAACCCCCACACTTGACCGGCTCAGACACGCCCAGTGTGACGGTCTCAGTTCCCCACGTCACTCTGCCGGAGGTGCCCAAACCTCCCCTCCAGCCTCCAGCCCCATGCTCCCTGCTCAGCAAAGTGCAGTGCCCCCACGACCCTTCCAAGCCCCTTACAGGGCCCAGCAGACAGTGGCCCGAGTACTCCAGGTGGACACCGGTGCCCACACTGACCCTCTTGGTCGTCCGAGAGCTTGCCAGGGGTCTCTCCTCTGGCGGATACAGGGCCCACCGGACAAGCGTCACATGGCTGGCGACTCCCTAGGAGCTGTGGGGGGACTAGGTTGTAGGAGATGGCCTGACTGGTGGCTTCCTACAGCCTCCTCTATGCGCGGTGCCCAGCACCTCCGTTCAGCTACCACGCATGGCAGCCAGGCAGCACTGACAGCTGCACCATCCCCTCTGCCACCACAGCAATGACCCTGGGATCACAGGAAGAACCTTGCCGGGAAGGCAGGCGCTGCTGAGGCCGAGTGGGCTTGGCGTGTGGCTGGGCTCTGCCAGGCCCACAGGCCCGGGACCTGGTCCCCATAGCTTCTCCTCCCCCACCGAGGCATCTGGGACCCCTGCCCACTCACCCTGCAGCTCTGCCCTCCCTCAGGTTCGATGTCCAGCTCCTTGTATTTCCTCAGGGCAAGTTCCAGTTCTGCCTTCAGGTCAATGGCGCGTTTTAAACATCCACCGTGGGTCCCGACGCGGGTGAAGCGCTGCGAAACGAGGGGGAGGAGAGCTCAGAGGCAAGCTGGCAGGCCCTAGGAAGCCATCCCGCTGGGAAGCAAGTGCCAGGTCCACTGGCCTGGGGGAGTCCCTGACATACCCGGGATGCAGAGCGCGAAGCTGCGAGTGAGGGACAGAGCCCTCACGGGTCAGGGGCCCTTCAGTCTCCATCCCCCCACAAAAGGGAGCCCTCGCACCCGACAGGCACATGCCCATCAACCCACAGGTCCCAGGTCCAAGGCTCACCTGGATCCAGGAGCAAACGGCCGGCAGGAACTTATTCCGGATGAGCTTGAGTGTGTCACGGGCAGGCATGGACCACAGCGACGTTGTCCTCGTTCTCCTGCACCTTCAGGCCCTCTGGGGAGAAGCACACAGAGTCACCCGAGGGCGCCGGCCGGTGTCTCCCACAGACCCCAGCGAGACGGGCAGAGCACGCGGTAAAGGCTGCTCTAGCCTGCGGAGAACCTGCCGGATGCCCTCCCTGCTTCCAGGGATCCCAAATCTGAGGCTGTGAGAAGTAAATGTTTTACGATCTTAGGAAAGAGCAGGTGGCTTAACACCAGCAGCCTGCCCTCACTCCAGCTCCCCCGCCTGATGTCTCCACTTCCTCCACGCGGCCATCCCTCCAGAGGGGCGAGCCCAGCCACACGCTGGGCACAGAAGCTTCGCCTCTGCAGCCCACCTCATAGGATGGGGCCCATCCCAGCCTCACCAGCAGCCCCCCAGCCGGGCCTCTCTTCTGTCGGGCACCCCAGCCCCGACTCTGCCCTGCTGTGGCTTCTCCCACTGTGGCACCCTCAGCGTCCGGCACAGGGCCGAGCTCTATGTAGGCGAGGGTGCCTGGGGACTGGCAGCAGCGGTGCCCACCCACACAGACCTGCAGGCTGCCTGCGGCCTCACTCCTGAGGCACCTCTGGGCAGCTGAGCCTGGAAGATGAGTTCTCCCAGCAGCTTCCCAGCCTGGCTGCCTCTGGGCCTGGTGAAGGAACGCCCACTGTGCCTGCTTCCAAAGAAGGTTCCTCAAACAGAGTGATTTGCAGCCACACACATACTCAAAGGGCCTCAGCCTCCGCCCACACCCCAGGAGGGGAGCCTGGGGCCTGGGAGGAAGCTGGAGCCAGGGGATGGGGTGGCCGTGTCCGCGCAACCCTTACCCACCCAGGCTGGAACACCAAGGCTGCGTGTGGCCATTTCAGAATCACATTTTCCTCCAGGCAAAGGCAGGCACTACCTGACCCCTCATGGTGACATAGGACCGTAACAGGCCTGTGAGCTGGCGGGATGCCCACAAAGCCTGCCCAGGGCTCCTGGTCACTTGGAAGGTCAGACCTGTGCTCTGCCATCCTTCGAGGACCACCCTAACCCTGTGAGTCCCTGATCTGCCCACAGCCTTGCTGAGGCAGGGAATGCCGTGAGCTCTTCGAAACGTCCCTGTGGCCACAGAGGCCTGGCATGGGTCGGGGTAGCCCAATGCGGAGGCCACACAGAAAGGAAAATCCTAGTGGTGACCCCTGACCCGGTCCCCAGGGGACCCCCCTGCAGTCCAGAGCTGCTGGGCTGGGTGCCAGCGAGGGAGGAAGTGAGCCAGGAGCCGGGCAGGCCGTTACCTGAGCAGAGCTCCACATCCAGCGTGTACTTGTGTGAGCCCAGCCCGTGGCTCCGCACAAACTCCTCCGGGTCGCCGTCCTCGTCCTCATCTGAGGGGCCCCCCCCAGCTGCCTGGGGCGGCAGCGCCCCGCCGCCGGCTCCGGGTTGGCCTGCAGAGGGCAGGCAGGTCCCTACTGCAGCAGGGCTTCTCCCCGTCCCGGGGGTCAGGGGGGCCGGACCGGCACGGGCCCACCTGGCTGGCACAGGAGGAGCTGGGGGCATCGGACGCGTCAGGAGCCACACCGAGGGATCCTGTCTCCAGGCTCGGGCCGAGGTCAAAGTCAAACGGCACCAGCAGCCTCAAGCAGCTCTGCACCTCCGTCAAGCAGGATTCCATTTCTCCAGACATTTCTGCCAAAAGATCAGGACACCTGTTTCCTGCGCCATAGGCCAAAAAAGCACTAGCTCCCCCAAAACCGCACCCAGAGGCTCACTCCCCAAAGGGCGCCACTTTTCAGCCCCAGGTGGGTCAGGGTCCTGCACCCAGCCCGCATCCCCTGGGGCCTCCTTTCTTCCCAAAAAAGCCAGGCCTCTGGTGTGGGTATCAAACATTTTTGTTTCTTCAGATAGGGTGTCACTCTGTCGCCTGGACTGGAATGAGGTGGCACAATGAGAGCTCGACACAGCCTGGACCTCCCAGGCTCAGGTGGTCCTCCTGCCTCAGCCTCCTGATTAGCTGGGACCACAAGCATGTGCTACTATGCTCAGCTAATTTTTTTGTAGAGACGGGGTTGCCCAGGCTGGCTTCAAACTCCGGGACTCAAGCAATCCACCCACCCTGGCCTCCCGAAGTGCTGGGATGACAGGTGAGTCGCTGTGCCTGGCCATGTAGTGAGCTTTTGTAACTGCTTTTGAAAGCACCAGCTCGGCCACTAGGCCTGCAGGACAATCTCTCCTCGCCTCTGGGTAGCAAGCACAAGTGCTCGGGGGTTGTCAGCCCGCCCGCACTTTCCAGAACGAGGTTGAACCTCCTTTCCGGAGCAACAAAACGTCCTTGTTCATGCCACACCTCCCAGGCCGGGGCAGCTTTCCTCCTGCTGACCTCCTCGTCATCCGGGCACCCAGCTGCCTGCCTGCCTTGTGGGCCCCTCTGAGGCCTGCGTTTCCTAGAATTGGCCTGTGGCAGGGCCCATGCGGGGGACCACGGTCTGTCAGTGGGAAGATCTGAGGCACAGGGAGAGCCCCCAGCCCTGCAGTCTGAAGGCACAGGGCTGTGTCTCCCCCCGCCCCATCAGGAGCCGCCTCAGGGAAGCCGTGGCACCTGGGTCTACCCCACACTCCACACCCTCCGGTGGTGCCCCTCACGATAAAGGCTGACTGCCATGAAGTAAATGGTGAGATTTTGGGGAAGGGGCTGGCAAGGGCAAGGCAGACATGAGATAAACAGGTGGCACAGACTTCAGCCAGGCCGCAGCTCAGAACACTGCCCACATGCATATCCCTGCCCGAGGGTCTGCACAGTGAATAGGCATGGGTGAACGTGACCACCAGAGAGCTCGGGAGAGGCAAGGACGGCCTGGGAGGTCCCTGCAGGGCCCTGGGGACAGAGCAGGGTCTGTGGCTGAGAACGCCTCCCGGCCTGACCTGAACCATATCCACCAAGCCTGTCTGAACACCTGGGTCCCCTGCAGCCCGGGGCCCTGAGCCCAGGAGGACAGACAGCTGGACCGTGGCAGCCCCCAGGGGCACGGACCCCTCCTGCTGCCCCAGGCACTTGCCTTGCATCTCTCTCTCCGCCTGGCTGGCTCTTTCCTGGTAAATTTTATCCAAGTGCTTCTGCTTCTCCTCTTCTCTCTTTCTTTCGGCCAGAGTTCGAGCACTTGAATCTTGAAAATCCACCTGAGCAATTGAAATTAAAGACTAGGGCTGGCTGGGTGTGGTGGCTTCACGCCTGTAATCCCAACACTTTTGGAGGCTGAGGCCCATGGATCACGAGGTCAGGAGCTCGGGACCAGCCTGAGCAACATGGTGAAATGCCATCTCTACCAAAAATACAAAGATTAGCCAGACGTGGTGGTGCATGCCTGTAATCCCAGCTACTCAGGAGGCTGAGACAGGAAAATTGCTTGAACCTGGGAGGCGGAGGCTGCAGTGAGCCGAGATCGCACCATCGCACTCCAGCCTGGGTGACAGCAAGACTCCAACTCAAAAAAAAAAAAAAAAAAAAAAAAAAGACTGGAGCCATCTATAAAGAATGTGAGGAAAACGAAGCTCAAGTAGGCCTAACAGAAGACCCAGCATCCACATGTGGCCAGCAGCCTACAGGGTGTTTAAGTTCACAGTGAGTTTTTTTGTGTGTCTGTTTGTTTTTTTAAGAGAGGGCAGTCTCGCTGTGTTGCTGAGGCTGAACTCAAACTCCCAGGACCAGGTGATCCAGCAGTCTCAGCCTCCAGTCACTGGAACTACAGGTGTGCATCTCATTCACAGCGCATTACAACAAAGTAAAATGTGCACCGCTCTGCCTCTGGGCCTGGGAAAGCCAGCACATCTGTTACACTTAAAGAAGCAATGAGACTTCTCACCCCAAGTGCCATGTAGGTAGGAGAGCAGTGTGCCCATTCCCTTAGCAGACAAGAGCCACTGACTGGACCCAGGGGCCTGAAACAAGCCGAGCATGAACCCAGGAGACTGGGCACTCCATGGGCACACAGGGATGCTGGCGGGGCTGGGCGATCGCCCTGAGGGGGCATAAGCCTTTGTGGCAGGTGGGGCGGGGGGCACAGCAGGTTCTGGGCAACAAGGCTGTGTTCAGGCCACAGCAGCAGAACCTGGTGAGTTTCATCATGCCAGGTACCAGCCAGCGCCCACAGAGGTTCCAGGGTGGACCTTTCACGAGCAAGGTTGGGAAAGGTCCCAGAGGCCAGAGGCCACTGTCATAGCAAATGCTGCATCTGAAAAGCTAAATTTGAGTATTGTCTCCTACACACACATAAAAATGACGAATGTAGGCTCAGCGCTATCCACACATAAAGCCTCTGCTCTGTCTCAGAGCTGCGCCACCCTTCTCAGGGAGGCCCTGACCGCAGCTGCTTCCACTCTCCCACACCCCATGGATGCTCCAGCAGCCTGGGTGCCTAGGCAAAGCCAAGCAGGCCCGTCCCATGCCAGACCCACCTACCTTTTTGTTGTGTCTTAAGAAGTGGTAGCCCAAGGCAAGCTTCTTGTAGGCCTTCCCAAACTTCTCATTCCAGCCTGCCACGGCCCGGGTGGCTGCCCGCCTCAGCCTCTGCGCCACCTCCCTGGGGGGCGGCAGAGGCTGAGCAGGGTCCGTGCCCAGCGTGAGCTCCAGAAACTCCTGGAAGTTGGAAACAAGCAGCACCCGGAACTGGTGAGACCTGGCGAAGAGCTCATCCACAATCTGAAAGGCTGACAGGCGGATCTCGGCATGCTCCTGGGTCAGCTGTGCTATCAGCAGGCGGTAGGTGCGGCTCAGCTGCTCCTCTGAAGACCTGGGGATGTGAGCCGGCCTGACCCAACCGCCCGCACAGGGAGGACGGGCGAGGCAGGCTCTCCATGCAGGGAGGCCACACACACGTGTGACGGGGACCATCGCTGCCTTCCCACCTTCTCCCCTTTTCTAGAGCAAGTCTGCAACTACTGCCCAAGGCCCACCTCCGGCTCCCCAGCCTGGCCTGTTTCTGTGTGGGCCACAAGCCAAGAATGATGGAACAAGCAAAAAATACTTGGTGAGACGTGAAAATGATGCAGACTTCAAACGCAGAGCCCACTCACAAAGCCTCACTGGAAGGCGACCCATCTGTCCGCCTGCATCATCTGCAGCTGCATTCACAGAGCTGAGGCCTGACAGCAAAGCCTGAAACACAAACCACCCAGCAGGAACACACAGCGCCAGGCATAGACACACACCTCCCAGAACTAACGCACACCTCCTGGCACGAACTCACACCGCCTGGCATGAACGCATAGCGCCAGGCACAAACACACACCTCCCAGAACACACACACACCTCGTGGCACAATCTCACACCGCCCGGCATGAACGCACACCTCCTGGCACAAACACACACCTCCCAGAACTTACGCACGCCGCCCGGCACGATCTCACACCGCCTGGCATGAACGCATAGCACCAGGCACAAACACACACCTCCCAGAACTAACACACACCTCCTGGCACAATCTCACACCGCCCGGCATGAACGCACACTGCCTGGCACAAACACACACCTCCCAGAACTAACACACACCTCCTGGTACGAACTCACATCTCCTGGCACAAACGCACACCGCCCAAAACTAACGCACGCTGCCCAGCACAAACACACACTGCTCAGCTGGGTGCCTCCTGCTGCAGCTAGGAAGGGAAGGCCTAGTGCTGCAGACGTCTCCAGCGCCTCCTGACTGCTCCTCTTCCCAGATCCTGGCCCCACATAAACCACTGTGATTTGGATTTCCTGGGGCATGCTACAAAACCTGAACTGAAATTTTCTATCAAAATATGAACGCTCCAGCACCATAAACAATCTGTAAGTTACCGTTTTACAAACGTAGGAGACAAGATAATCAGTGTCCTTAAACTTATGCTCCAGCCTTTGAGGGGAAGTTTTGCTTTTCCCATGAATCTCCGGCTGCCTCAGAGTGACCGGCAGAGATCCTGGCCAGCACTTTCCTTGGAGGGAGACGTGAGCAGACACACTGTAAACGCAGATGGAGCAACCCGCCCAGCAGCAAGCTCTAGTCTCTCCCTTTGCAAAGTCCAACAGCAAAGAAAAAGACGCACGTTTCTTTCTAAATCAGGTATGTGCACTCAAGAACTCCTATATCACGTTCTCTACACCCCGCACACGGGAATGAAGAGAAGCAACAACGGCAGAGCGCTGATGTGTTCCCAAAGCCACGCGCCCTGACCCTAGGACCACGACCACCCGTCAGAGCTGGGCACTGCAGGGCCCTGAGAAAATGTGCTGGGCGTGTCCCTCGGGTGGTTCTCGCCCAGGTGGGGCAGGCAGGGGGCCCTGTGTGTACTGTGAATGACTCAATCCTAAGACATACTTGCAAATTTTCTTCAGTTCCTTCATTTTCTCAGGATTTAGTCGGGGTTCTCCTGAAGTTGTGAGCTCTTCTACCAACTTGGAAAGTTTCTGATCCATATCTAGAAATAAGTAAGGCAGAGACGCTAAGTCGTCAACCGCCCTTCACAGCTCTCGGCGTGACTAACGTGTTTACTGGGCTCCACTATAAACAGAAGTTCCGGGAGGACCCTGAGGCTGGGGTCCGCCTGTCTTTACCTCGGTGGGTGCCTCTCTGGGAACTATGACCCCTCGAGGGGACGGTCAGCGGGGGTCCGGCAAGGCCTTTGCGGTGGTTACAGTTTTAAGTGAACCTCGGACTGGGGACCGCCACACCGCACGCGCGTGCACGCCGCGCGGCACCGACGGGAACGAGGGGCACTGTCCCCGTCACCGCTCCCCCGCGGGGCTGCTGCCGTCGCCCTCGTCCGCTCGGACGCCGCAGGGCCGCCTCCAGCAGGGCCGCAGAGGCCGACAGCAGCCGAGACACGCGGACCGGCCGAAGCCGCCCGCCCGGAGGCGCAGGCCCGAGCGCCGCGGCGTGCAGGGTGGGAAGGGACCACCGCCCGCAGCCCGGGCAGGAAGAGGCCGGAGGACCCGGAAGGAAGCGCCGGGCGAGGCCGCGGGCGGAGGCTGCGGAGCGGCGCCCCACCCGGGGAAAGGAGGGGCCCAGCGGGGCCGCGCGAGACGGGGGCCGGGGTTCTCCCCGGCGGGGCGGCTGCACCGGGCGGGCGCGCCGGCTTCGAGCTGCTCCGGGGCTGCGGCCTGTCATTCGGCCCAGGGCCCGCCGGCGGCCGCGTCGCCGACGCTCTCGGGGACGCGGGAAACACGGACACGCCCGCGCCGCAGGCCTCCGCCCGGCCCCGCAGAGCCCCCGGTGCTGAGCCCGCGCGACCCCCGCCCGGCAGCGGGGCCACAGCCGCACCTACCAGGACGCGGCCGCGCGCCTCGCCCCGCCCCTTCCGGCGGGGGCCGCCCATCCCGTCAGGTGCCCAAGAGCTCTACGGCCATTGGCTGGCCCTGGGCCGCCGCGGAGGTCACCACGGCGACGACTGCACCTACCGCTCGAGGCGGCCGTCCTCGCCGTCGCCCCGCCCTTTCCGGCACAGGCCCCGCCCCCCACCCTGGGTTCTGAGCTCGGCAGCCAATGGCTCACCCCGGCCCAGGAGGCGCAGGCGCGAAGACAAGGCCGCGGTTTGCGCGGTGACGTAGGCGCGCTCCCGGCGAGGGCGGGGCAGCCTGGGAGGGGAGACGCGCGAGAAAAAAGAGGCGGGAGGGCGCAGCAAGTCCTTAAAGGGGCCGCGTGTGCGGGCGCCGGGGGCGGGGCCGGCCGGGAAACTGAGGCCGAAGGGAAGTTCCGGTCTGGGCGTCAAGGCCACGCCCGTCCGGGGGCTGGCGGCCCGGTCCTTCCGCCGCGGACGGCGGGTGAGGGCTGCCCCGGCGGGAGGGTGCGCTGGGCCCCGCGGTGCCTCCTGCTCCGGCCCGGGGAAGGGACGCCCTGGGCGCGCTCGGGAGTCTTTGGGGCCCAGCTCGGCGTCAGACGCACGGCAGCGGCTCCTGGGCCCGGCTGGCCCCGAGCGGCACGAGGGGCCGCGGCGCCGTTCGTCCTGCAGCCGGGAACGGAGGGGAGTGCGAGGCGCGCCGCGGCGGGCGGGCCGGAGCCTGGGCTGGGGGACCGGGGGGTTGGGGGCCGTGGGGCTGGGGGCCGTGGGGCTGGGGGATCGTGGGGGCCGTGGTGCCGGGGGGCCGTGGGGCCGTGGGGCCGGGGGGGCCGTGGGGGCCGTGGGGCTGGGGGGCCGTGGGGACCGTGGGGCCGGGGGGGCCGTGGGGGCCGTGGGGCTGGGGGGCCGTGGGGCTGGGGGCCGTGGGGTTGGGGGCCGTGGGGCTGGGGGATCGTGGGGGCCGTGGGGCCGGGGGGCCGTGGGGCCGTGGGGCCGGGGGGGCCGTGGGGGCCGTGGGGCTGGGGGGCCATGGGGACCGTGGGGCCGGGGGGGCCGTGGGGGCCGTGGGGCTGGGGGCCGTGGGGCTGGGGACCGTGGGGCCGGGGGGACCGTGGGGGCCGTGGGGCTGGGGGGCCGTGGGGCTGGGGGCCGTGGGGTTGGGGGGCCGTGGGGACCGTGGGGCCGGGGGGGGCGTGGGGGCCGTGGGGCTGGGGGGCCGTGGGGCTGGGGACCGTGGGGCCGGGGGGACCGTGGGGGCCGTGGGGCTGGGGGCCGTGGGGTTGGGGGGCCGTGGGGCCGGGGGGCCGTGGGGCTGGGGGCCGTGGGGCCGGGGGGCCGTGGGGCTGGGGGCCGTGGTGTGTCCCCGCTCGGGGCGGAGGGTTTTCCCTCGGGGGGGTCGCCGCGCGCGGGCGTGGGAGCGGAGGCGGCGCCCGGCCGTGCCGACCGTGCTGCTGCGGGGCGGATTTCACGGCCGCGAGTCACAGCTCAGTGAGGCTGTGGTCGGGTCGTCGGGACTGGGAGGAGAGGAGGGTCTCTCGGCGGCGCCGGCCGCTGGCCCACCTGTCCTCACCCGCTGGGCAGCCAGACCCTTCCCCAGCGCCCCTTGTCCTGGGCACCCGGTCCCGGCCCGAGCTTCCTCCAGGGCACCCATCCGCAGTTTCCCTCTGTCTTCTACAGCGTGATTCCTTTTGTTATTTATTTTCATTCGCATAAACGGTGCGGTTTCTCCCATACTAACAAATCCTTCTCTTCAACTTCTCTCACCAACCTGTTGCTTTTTTTTTTTTTTTTTGGTTCCCCTTTGCAGCCACAGTCTTAGAACTGCCTTCACCTTCACCCTGTGCCCCCCTTCCTCCTCCAGTAAGCCTGTGCCCAGCGGGGTCTCCAGGGATGCCTGCATTGCTAGGGCCAGTCTCTGTGACGCTGCCCCGGGGTGCTCACCAGCACCGCTGAGCTGCCCGCCACTGCCCTCCATCAGCTGATGGCTCTGCTTTTTTTTCCTCCTTCTTTTTGAGACAGCGTGTTGCTTTGTCACCCAGCCTCACTGCAACCTCCACCTCCCGGGTTCAAGTGATTCTCCTGCATCAGCCTCCCGAGTAGCTGGGATTCCAGGTGCCTGCCACCATGCCTGGCTAATTTTTGTAATTTTTTTTAGTAGACACGGGTTTTCACCATGTTGGCCAGGATGGTCTCGAACTCCTGCTCTCAGGTGATCCACCCACCTCCTTTTCCCAAAGCGATGGGATTACAGGCGTGAGACCACACCCAGCCCACATTCTTTTTAAGTGTACATGCCGCTTTCACCAAGAAAGCTCATATTCTGGGCCACCCAGCAAGTGTCCATGAATTTAAAAGGACTAAAACCATGCAGAGTACAGTTTCTTTCTTTTTTAGGTTTGAGACAGGCTTTCAGTCTGTCAGCCCTCTGTCAGCCTGGCTGGAGTGCAGTGGTGTGATCGCAGCCTCACACTCCTTGGCTCAAGGCGTCCTCCCACCTCAGCCCCCTCCCACCTACAGATGTGCACCACCATGCCTGGGTCACTGACAAAAATTCTCCGTAGAGACAAGGTCTCACGGTTACTCAGGCAGGTCTTCAACTCCTGGGCTTGGAGGATCCTCCCACCTTAGCCTCAGATCCACCTGGGTGGGTGGGTCACTTGAGCCCAAGAAGCCAAGACCAGCCTGGGCAACATGGCAAAACCCCATCTCCACAAAACATACGAAAAATTAGCCAGGCATGGTGGCATGCACCTGTAGTCTCAGCTACTTGGGAGGCTGAGGTGGGAGGATTACTTGGGCCCAGGAAGGCTGCAGTGAGCCAAGGTTGTACCGCTGCACTCCAGCCTGGGCAACAGTATCAGACACTGTCTGTCTGTCTGTTTCTCTCTCTCTCTCTCTCTCTCTCTCTCTCTCTCTCTCTCTCTCACACACAACACGACATCATTACAGATCCTATAAACTTAAAAAAAAATAAGGTATGGACAACTTTATGTCAAGAAATTAAATAATAGATTAATTTAACAAGTTCTTTAATGACAAAAATTATCGAAACAGACTTAAGGAAAAAAAGACCTAATTAGTCTTAGAACTAGTAAAGAAATTGAGTTCATAATTAGAAATCTTCCCAGCATGGAAAACTCCAAACCCAGGTAGCTTCACTGTTAAATTATATCAAACACGTAGCTGGGCAGGGTGGCATGCACCTGGAGTCCCAGCTCCTTGGGAGGCCGAGACAGGAGGATCACTTGAGGCCTGGAGTTTGAGATTACAAGCGTGAGCTATGATCGCTCTAGTGAATAGCCACTGTACTCCAGACCAGGTGACAGAGTAGGACCATCTCTTAAGAAAAGGAAATTCTAAGAAATTCTTTCAGAAAATACACAAGGAGAAAGAACATTCTAATTCATCTCATGAGTTTAAACCCTGATACTAAAACTAGACAAAAACACTAAAAGAAAAATCACAGACCAATAACCCCAATGGACAGTTGCAAAAACTCCCTAGCAAAGTACTAGCAAGTCAAATCCAACAATATATGAGAAAATACAACATGACTAAATGGGAATTCAAAATCAGTGTAATTCTCCATAAACAAGAAAGGAGAAAAATCATTTGCTAATTTTATTAGAGGAGTAAAAAAAAATTGAACTTCAACATCCACTCATGATCGTAACTGCTAGGAAACTGGAGTGGAACTTCCTGAGCCCGATAAAGGACATCTTCAGGAAAACTTACAGCAAATGCCATCCTGACATGAACAACATAGTATGCTTTCCGCAAAACATTGGAAACAAGGTGTCCACTCGCACCCGTCCGAACACTTAACACTGCCCCAGATGCTCCCACCAGCACCATGAGACAAAGGAATGAAAGGCATGAAGATGAGAAAGGAACAGGCAAAACTGTTCACTTGTAGATGATGCAATCACATACACAGAAAATCCTTTAGAATCTACCAAAGAGCTGCTAGAACTAATGAACAAGTTTAGTTAAGGTCACAGTATGTACAAGATCAATATACAAAAATCAACTATATGTCCACATATCACCAATGAATAACTGGAAGGTCGAAATTTTAAAATACATTTATGATAGCATTAAAAATCATTTAAAAAAAGTTCAACTGTATGTACAAAATGTACATATAGGCACCGAGGAATGAGAGCTAAGCAGAGCCCTGGCACAGTTAGGGCTTGAGGAATGTCTCACTTTATAGTGTTACTGCTCAGCTATTTCCTTTTATGTAATCCTTTACATAATCATATATTAGTTTATAGAAATAGGGCTTGAAGAGTCCCTTTATATAATCCTCTATATATAATCATTAATAGTTGATAGTAGGAGTGCCTAAAGAATATTTCCCTACATATATACCTATAATTATATCTTAGTTCATAATCGGAGGAATTCCTAGAGCAGACACAGTGCAGAGCATGAATTAAGGGAAGACAGTTATACCAGGACAAGAATCCATGGCCCAGGCGGCAGCGTTCAGTATCGTAAAGATACCCGCTGTATGGCAGGCTTGGGGCGAGAGCCACTCCTCCTGATAAAGGAGTTGTAGGACCTTGCTCCAGTTCTCGTGGAAGGCTGCCCTCAGAACGGCAATCCACCTTGGTGACTGTGAACTTCATCAGCTCTTACTACTGTGCTGCTGGAAAAGCATCTTCCCACAGAAGCCACTGGAAGCTGCCAGAAGGTGGCGGTAACCCTGACGGCTCTGTCACTGCTGTGTGACTTAAAGCATCCCCCCATATTAGAAGTAGCTTGCCCATAGAGAGAAGTATCGCACGCTGCACCCTCTTCACTGCGCACAGCCCACCTTCAAGCCTCGGTGACCTAATGGGGGTGGACCCCTTACTGCACACGGCCCTTGCCTTCATGGGAACGGGCCCCTTGCTGCGCACTGTCCATCTCCTGGCCTAGGTTACCTAATGGGGGTGGACCCCATATTTTACTGCTCACGACCCTATCACTATCCTTAAAGATGATTTCACTCACTGCCCTGCCCCCTAACCT